CGCAAACATTTCTTCATCTGAATAAAAGTGAGTGAGTGAGTGGTCGTCGATAAGATCGAGGTCCAACAGGTGCGTTGAACGCTCGATGATGAGGAAAGACCACGAAGGGCGGACGACACTTCGCAATTACAGGTTGCGTACAATGCGTGCGGTTGGAGTCTCCCACGCAGCGAAAAGGGCCTGAAAAGGAACTACTCTCTCACTCTCTGCAACTCCCTCGAGGCCAAACACATCCTCAGGATGAGACAAAACTATGTTTAGATTGGAGATAGATACGTTAATCGGTAGAATAAACACTCGTGCGTTCTTTTCTCTGCTGTTCGTGTTGTGTACACTGTGTTTGTACTATGCATGTGTACTTCTTCTGGCCAATTCTCGTGGGAGAAACTCTGTGCGCAAAGAGAACAAGATTGCGATCGACAAGAAGCGATATGAAACGTTCTTTTCATCCAAAACATTCTTATCATTATCATAATCAATATACGTAATACTTCTTACAACACAATAATAGCGCACTTACCCATTATACAATTTGCTTATTGTTTGCTGTCTACTATTTCTGGAGCGAATTTATACACCTGATTTTCTTTGAAATAAAATGTTTCAAGAAAGATACATTTTTTTGACACGTTGAAAAAGAAATATGTATTACAGGTATTATCATCAATAAAAAAAAATGAAAAATTAATACACAAAGAAAATTATACAAATTCTCCGTTTTTGTATATCTCTTAAATTAAATAAACAGCTTCACTAAATCACTGTAATTCTTAATTACCTGAAAATAAAAACATCTTTTAACAATTAGTTAAATTTATTTGATAAAAAAAACAATACATTTTTTTCTCATAACGCGGTTTTCATATAACGCGATTAACCCCCTATAACGTTGTACTTTTTTTAATACGATTTCTCTTTTAAGCAGTTAACATTTTTGAAGATATAAACCATCAAATTGCAGAGAAAGTGGTTTGAGAGGAAACTTTTAATAAAGAGGAATTGTTAGCACTAATTGATATATCTAGTTAAAAGTGCGACATAGATAAATAATGAATATAGAAAGAATGAGTCGAAAATTTCAGTTTAAAAGTTCTGAAAATCACAAAATTATTTTTTTTAGAATTTATTGGTATTTTACCCAATTAAACCGTATACGATACTAATTTAGAAGATTTTTACTAATTCTAGTTTTCATCTATCGCGTTTTATTAAATTTCCTTTTTTTTCATCAAAGTGACATCTACTATGGATGAAAAAACAATTAGAAATAAGTTTTATTTAAAGATGTTCAAATTATAAACAAAAAATAAACTAAGTTTACTACTTACATAAGTTTTGGACAAATTCGTTTCTATTCTTTGGTCGTTAATAACAAACATTTAGTTTATTATCAATGAAACAGACAATAAAAATAATGTATGCTAATATATACATAATTTATAATCAAATTTATACCTGTAATTTACATTCCTTTGATTCTAAATGAGGCAATGCAAATGGTTAAATATTAATTACATCTATTGAGGTGATTACGACATCTGTTGTTAGTGAATTAAACACATGTGACAGTTAATAATGGATAATTATAAATCAATATATTTTATATCAGTCTTTCTTAACATTTTTTTTGCGTTTATAGACCAAATTGCTTGGTGTATTTACTAATTCCTGACATAAGGTAACAGCTGTCATTTCGTGACCCATTAAATGTATTGTCAATTAATCACTAGAAATGTGAAATATTGTCAAAATAAAAGTAATTTAAAAATAAATACTGAATTTGATAAACGTAAATGGAACAAGAGTATTTCACCGGTTCATCGCTTTGACACAAGTTGACAGCTATCGTTTCGAGTAGAAATGTCAAGTATTGTCAAAATAAAAGTAATATACTGGGTTTTATACAGGTATATGAAGCTAGCTGACAGCTGTCATTTTGAGTGGAAATGTCAAATATTGTCAAAATTCTCAATAATACTAACTAAAAAGAAATACAGTGGAACCTCGCTTAACGAGTATAATCCGTTCCAAAATTTCCGGATTTTTGAAATAATTGTAGAAAATGATGAAGAAGGCACACAATCGGGGACTTCTCTTCTCAGCGTCACTCGTTATGCGAAACGTCGCTCGTTAAATGAGTCATTTTTCTTACAATTAATTTTGCTCGTTAAGCGAGTTTCCACTGTACTGAATTTGATAAACTTAAATAAAACAGAAGTATTTCACCAGTTCATCTCTTTGACACAAGCTGACAGCTGTCATTTCGCGACCCATTAAAACTTTAATGCAACCCAATGGAGAGTCACGGCCCATAAGTTATAAAAACGCTATTTTAGATAACTTGAAACGATTCTATTTGTTTTCATGTCATACATCTACTATGAACAATGTATTTATTTATGTATGAAAGGTTACAAAATATTATTAAACTAACGTCTTTTCTCATTATTGAATCAATAACAAAAAAAAAATGTTTCATATTTTATATATAAATAAAAAAACTGTAGCTTTAATCATGAAAACGTTTTAACATCGTAATTCATGTGGTATTTTCAGTTTATGAATGACGAAAATATGTTTGATGTGTAAAATATATTGCGCGTTCGGATAATTCCAAACTGAACATTGTGTGACGAATGCGGATTCGAGTATTTCGAAACAAACAAAAAAAAAACAGAATATGTGGATTGCTCGTTCAACCTATTGTTCGATTTGTGATTTATTCGCGGTAATTAGCAAATGAATTACTGATGAAGCTATTGTGTAACCACGGGACGAGGGGTTACAGTTTTAAATGGACGCATGCTCGTGTATAATACGCACATCGTTTTTGTTTTAATGTTTTTGTTTGAATGTCGGGCTTTTATGAACGAATGCCGCTGTTCTAATTTATCGCCGTTTCGCCTGTACAACGGTTTCAAAATGACAATTAACAAACTCATGGACGTTTCATTTAATATTTAATATTGAAATACTTGGGTAAGTTAAGAAATCAAGTATTGAAAATAATACTTAGATTATCGATCTGCAAATTTTGTGATTTAGCTAAATTTTTACAAATATTTTATTTTACAGTTACAAATTTTCATTCTCATAAAATTTTATGTTCAATTATTTTTTAAACACAACAAAATAATCATCAATTATTTGAATTGAACTTTAAAATTGTTTAATTAATTTTAGGTCTTAAAATATTTACATTAAGCAAAATCAAGTTTTATTAATAAACAAAATAAATAAATTGAAACAAAACACTGGCCAAATGATTTATTTTTAGTTGAATTTCTTCTTTACAGCCTAAATTTTAATAAATAATCGTAATTGATTGTAATAGAATGAATACAAAATTATAAATGAAGAAATTAAAAAAAAAAACAGTTAGAAAACTTTTCATAGGTTATCTGTTTTATGCTCATCTACTGATATCCTTTAGTGTCCTTAGGGTATTACGATTTAATAATCTTTGTTTCTTTGTTGTTGTGACGTTCATTGATCTTTGTATTGGATTTGATAATGTCGATTTCGTCAATTATTTTAATTATATCATTTAGATAACATTAGTTTAGAAATAATGCTAAGTTCGTATCAAATTGGTATCAATTTATATTGCACATACTATTTTCTTTATATGAAATGTACAAACTTCGTCAAACAAAAGTTGTGTAAATATTTCATAAAATTTATAAAATTTTGTTTGCACATACATGGTTTAGTAACTAGTTTCATTTCGAATTTCAGTGGGTATTATAAAAATGCTATTGGTAATTACGTACAGTCGAAATTCTCATAAAATAATATGTAATTAAAAAAATAAATACTGAATTTGTACAAAGTAACTTAATCTATATTATTTTATTTAATACTAATGTTAAATTGGTATATATTCTGTATATATTACAAATACAACAAAACCTTGCAAAATGCGTCTTTGATCTATACAAATATAATATAATTCGGTTAGAAAATTTCAAAATAAAGTAAATTTTAATTGATCTGAATAAAAATGTATACAGACAAATCACTTTCTACACAGTTTATTTTTTGTATATATTTAATTGAAATAAATAATAATTAATGTCATTATTTAATCTACCGGTTTGATAATGTCGAAACAATTTAAAAAATTAATTGTATATACAATTTTTCTCAAGTCTCTTTTCTATTTTATTTAGTTTCCTCGATTAGTCCGGTTTCAAATAGTTCTGGATATAGAGGTAACCGATTACCCGCACTATCCGAGGTATTGTAATTTTAATTATTTATATAAAATTCCATGATTTATAAAGACAAAATCATTTTTTGTATGTTATTAAATTTTTCGATTAGTACGGTATCAAACAGTCTCGCAATATGCGAGTTATTGCTGTACTATATTTGTAAATGTTTTATATGTAATACAAAAGATGCAAGGGTTTCATTTCGGTTTGTAGAATGGCAATTGTATTTTTTTTTTATTTAAATGGTTTACGAGTTTCATTTCCAGTTGCAGTTGGTATATATTGTGGTAATACTACTGATGATGATGACTATGATGATGATAATAATAATAATGATACTGACGTTGTGTGGTGGCACAATGGAGGGTTTGAATTAACATACGAGATATGTGCCTGGTAGATTTTGGGGTGGAGGTTGCATAATAGCTTTATAATATACTTGTACGAGGAGGGCAGAGAGGGTGAGCGGAGAAGGGTGGTCTCAATTCGGGTGGAGGGAGGGTTTTGGTTTCGCGTACGGCGAGGAGAGGGGAGTGGACATTTGGATTCAAAAGGGGGGGTGAAGGGAGGGTAGAGTAGAGAGGTGTCTCTGTTTCGCTAATACAATGCCTACGGCAGGGCGAGTTTTTAGGGGGGTAAGGGGTGGTGGCGACGGCAGCGGCGGCGTCGGCATTACAGATGTGTATACAGATGCGGCCGAACGGTGCGGGGCGAACTCGCGCCACGTCACATCCGTGAGGGCGGAGCCTGTCTCCGATTGGTCAACTGTATCCAACCCGAACCACCAACAGTTACCATCCTCGGCTATCATTTAGTTACTGTCATACTCCGACGACCGGAACTAACAACGCACACGCAGAGATCATCGCCGTTCTCAGGGGTCCGGGCGCCTCCACCACACTTTTTACAAGGAAAGGACGAAGGACACACACAGCAACCATCCCTCCAGAGCCAGAAGAAACATTGTCAGTGATTCGAACTCAGTGATCGGTTACATTATCCCCAGTTTCTCTATATTTCCATCATCTCGTTAAACGTGTACGAAGAACTTTCGGCTATGAGCCTCCCCGGTAGCGGAGTGGACATGTCCACTCTGATGTCGCAGCACCCGGTGCTTGGCGCAATTCCACCCTCGTTTTTTCTGCGGGCCTCCGAACGATACCAGAGGACACCGAAATGTGCGAGATGTCGTAACCACGGCGTCGTCAGCGCCCTGAAGGGCCACAAAAGGTATTGCCGCTGGAGGGACTGTGCTTGCGCCAAGTGCACCCTCATCGCCGAGCGGCAGAGGGTTATGGCCGCACAGGTCGCCCTCCGGAGGCAGCAAGCTCAGGAGGAGAACGAGGCCCGAGAGTTGGGTCTACTCTTCCCCACAGGACATTCGGAAAACTCCGCCGGAGTCATACCTCAACAGCAACAACAGCAGCAGCAACAACAACAGCAGCACCAGCAGCAACAACCACCTGCAGATCAACTGCAGAGACCGAACGCCTTTGCTCCAAGCGAAAACAGTGCACCAAACAGTCCAAGTACGTAAACAAAGTTTTAAATTACATCACAATCTTTAAATAAGTTGCTCATCATTTGATACATCTATTTTATTTGTTCATCCTTTCAATATTGAAACATTAATCTAATTTGTTATTGAAACTTCTCAATAAGAGCGAGTTAACTGACATTACAGAAAATAAACATACAATTTTCATTTTGTCAATTTCCCAATGAAATATCATATTGTAATGATAATAATGTGTATATAATAATATCAAGAAATTAATAAAATTGTACGATGAAATAAATCAAACAATTACTATTACAATTACAGTATTTATATAATCATAATACAATAACTTACTGCAATAGAAAATAATTAGGTCATTATTCAATTTACAAAGTTGCGATCAACTATATAATAAATAGTACGGTTTGAAAATGTTGAAGCGATTTAAATTTTAATTGAGCAAAATCAAAATAAATAATTATTTTTATATACAATATTTCTCTTCATACGCGCAAGTCTCTTCAATTTTTTTTTAGTTTCTCGATTCGTACGGTTTCAAATAGTCCGGGAAACAATTACCCGCACAATACGGGTAATCTTCATACGCTCAAGTCTCTTCAATTTTATTTAGTTCCTCGATTACTACGGTTTCAAATAGTCCGGGAAACGATTACCCGCACTATGCAAGGTAATTCTGTGCAGTTATATATATATAACATTGTAATTTTAATTAAGTATATACAATTTTATCACGCGTTTCCAATAATCTGCTACTACATTAATTGAATTCTACGATTCATAAAGACAAACTAAATACACTGAAAATTGCAATACATTAAAAGTAAATTAATTCAATGATTAGCAAATATATTCTAGATTTTTGTAACAAAATTTAAATTTTTGTTTTCAATTTCTAATACATACCAATCTAATTAGTACGTTTATGTTTTTCAATAAAATATTGTTTATTTGAGCACCAAAATGCAAAGAATTTTCTTTTACTCATTGTTTCAATATTAAGTTTCTAAATTCACGATTTTTTTTTGGAAAATTAATTATTATTATTATTTTTTTCATTGAAATCAAGAAAAAAATATACATTTATTTAATATAATCTATTTATTTGCAATTCATTTATTGATTATAATTTGTATATTTCTTAATGCAAAAAAGAATTTTTAATACAAATGAAACAGGAATATCAAATATATATCAAAGTTAACAAATAATGTATATATTTTTTAATTAATTTGCATTTGGAAAAATAAATTTAGTCTAAATACATTAAAGAATAAAATCAAATAATTAATGAATATTTAGCAGTTTTGACTCAAACTCAAACTATAATAGAGCTTACTGATCTTGATCCTAAGCTCTTCGTTAAACAGAATTGATGTTGTGGGCATCGACGGAGGAGTGTGCTGAACGCGTGTATCGTTTTGTGTTTCTGCCCTTAACTTTTGCTCCTGCTTCATTTTTCACATGTATAGTATGTGTACTTTATGTATGTACTATATATATTTTTTTCAGTTGTTTTGTTTGCATATTTTCAAGAGTCGTTAGCGGAAAGAAAAATGAACGAGGAGAGGGATCAATTAAAAGTCATTAATGTTGAGCCGACCCACTTGACCGAACGCACACACAAATACATTCATAACGCGATCCGCAAAAGTCTATATACGTATACACAAATATACATACATATATATAGAAAGAGAGAAAAGTAAGAGAAGAATCATGGTAAACGCAGGGCAGACCATTATTTCAGTTCCCTTCGGCATCATCCATGTGGAAATATTAAATTTACACACTTACACGCACATGCACACACCGAATATAAACAGAAATCAATCGATGCACCTCAGAAACCCCGCATCTCTTTCGACTTCAACCATTATTTGAACACAACTACTACATCCCAAATCTGTAGACTAAATTCACCCAAAACCGTATCTGCAAGTAATTGTTATTATTATTTAAATTTCCATATTATAGACAATTTTACGTAATTTCCAATCACTATTTTCATTTGCATTTTTTTATTACTAAAAATCTTAACTTAACAAATGTTGTACTTACATTATTGCAATAATTGTAAATTTATATGAAAACTATAAAAAAAATATTGATGATTATTATGAAATATCAAATTCAAGTTTAAACCTTTTAATAAACCTTACATTTATTCTTCATAATTTTAATTAATTATGTGAAAAAAGATACAAATATAATGAACATCTGTTTTGAAGTACAGTGGAACCTCGCTTAACGAGTTTACGTTCCAAAATTTCCGGATTTTTGCTCCTATAGTGAAATTTATTCAAAAATATGTGTACACAAGTTTTAAAAATGATGTAGCAGACGCGCAATCCGGGACTTCTCTTCTCATTCTTCTCATTCTCAGTCATTTTTCTTACAATTCATATTGCTCGTTAAGAAAAATGCTCGTTATACGAGGTGCTCCTTAATGTAAAAATTGTAATTATTATTTCCATTATTATAAAAAAAATACATCATATTTCGAACATAAACTTGAGGAACTTACATTATGGACATTTTACGCTATTTTCATTACCAATTTACATAATTATAGAAAATTAATTAACTATCAATAAGCTTTTGCAATAATTACTATAGAATTCAGATTTACTAATTAAACAGGGATGATTAAACAGAATCAGTAATATACTATTTTCAAGATTGAATTCAAGTTTAAACTGGTGCCTTCTCATAAACTACAATTTTAACATTTATTTCTTCACAAATTCAATATTTGATAAATAAAGCAACTATATAAGAAACATTCTTTCTCGAAGATTAATTAGATTTAATTCTATGAAAAAAGTAACTTATAAATTACACAAATTAACGAGAAAATGCCAAATGAAATAATTAAAATGACGAAGAAAGTATTAACTGAAATATCTAAAGGTAACTTTTCACGATTTTCTTTTTTTATTCCCGAGAAACAAGAAATTTAATTTTCCCGGTAATTTCGATTAGTAACGAATACTCGTAAAGCAAACTATGAACGTAGAACACATTTAGATTGCGTTGATGCATGTTTGTTTGATTTTATATGATTCGTTCAAACAAATTCAATTTTCTGACGATCTGATGTTTATTGTAGGCATGAAATGGTTGAAACAAAAAAAATATACGTAAGGTGATTCGTTGAAGTTTGCCTTGGGAACGTGCTTGGTGTTACAGCTGAGCGAACACCAATAACATCCATTTATTTGTCCGTCATTAATGGCGGATGGTCGATTGAGGCGTTCCTCAATCTCAAGACGCAGCAAAAAAAATACATTAATTATTCGTTAAACATGGATTAATGAACTTATGAAGTAACTTATTCAATTTCTACTGCCCGAATGGGGCCTATATAACAATGAAGACGAAGTGAGCTATGCAAGACGTGACATCTTTTGATAGCGGTTAATGAAAATAACGTCAAGGTAATATGTTGGAGCGTCGCGACGCCCTCATCTTTCGCACACAAACACGTCGTATGTGTGAGTGTGTAATGGCTTTGGCCATTATATTAAATGGTTACTCGCGGTGAACATGGAGCGGTTGGCCGCATTCCTGGCTTATTGCGGATTCCACAAGTATCATTTGGCCGCTCTTAATGAAGTCCCTTTCTTTCCCTTCTCTTCCCTCTCTTTTTCACTCATACACTCTTTTTTCCTCGAGGACGAGGATGGCCTCTTTTATATTCTTCTGAACTCCCCCATCATCATCATGAATTGATAAAACCTCCCCCCCGCTCTTCCGACCACCGTTTTTCTCCTTCTGACCCATTGCATTCCCAACCATCCAACAAATTGACTCAACTGACTGGATACACAAAAGGGATACTAATATTCATCCACCCTTCAAAAATAACAGCAATTCTTCGAAAACGATTATATTAACAAGACGGATCATTATAATGATAGTTAAATTACAACCAAATTACACATTTACCACTTAAGATATTAATATTTCTGTCAAATTATGAAAATCTAAATATTTACAAACTCTGTGTTTCTTATTGAAAATCTTGAATTCATGTATATAAACTTCTTCTTTTTTTTAAATTAAAACTTCATTAATATTTTCTTTGAAAATTTGAATATGATAGACAAAGAAGATGTATAAAACACAATAGTAACAAAAATTCTTTATTTGTTCCATCTGTTGAAACATTCTGACAAATGAAACATATTTTTTTTTAATGATAATCAAGAAGCCGTTGATATAAACAAAGAAAAACAGAAGTTATTATTATTGTTTTTATTATTTCTGAGGATTGAGGAAGTAAGCTGTAATTTATTTAAATTGATCAAAACTTCTGCGTATTTTTTTTTATAAATGAAATCATGTCGAAGCCGTTGATGTAATTTGCAAATTAATTAAAAAAAAGCAGAAGGGAAGGTGAAATTAAAAAATAAAACTTTTTTTCCATCTCAAAGTATGCATGTATTAAATATACATATTTTTTAATAATTCCATATCAGAAATGGCTTCTCAAGGGTGGAGGGAAAAAATCACATTTGCAAGTATACCCAATGTTTGTTTGCCTTTGTTTTTTTTTGTTCGTTCGTACCGTGCTTTCTTTCCTTCCGTGCGCTCGTTGTGCGGCTTCGTATAATTAGTATTCGTACCGGTGTTTGGCGAAGAGCTCGAGTGCTTTTTGGAGGCAGCAATTCTTGTTTGCCCAGCCATTATCTCGGCAAATGTTACACTGTATTCAGTATTATACCACGTCTAATATTTGTTTCTTTTTTTCTTTAACCTAAGCCGAGAACGCTGAACGCAGTTTCAGAGAGAAAGACAAAGAAAGAGGGATGCAGGTTTCGAATATTTTTTTTTTGAAATTTTCGTTGTTTTGCTTGCGTCGGAAACGAAAGAGCTGTTCGAAATTCCATTCCATTAAATGAAAAAAAAAAATCAGTCAAATATTTGTACAACTTGAAAATTTGGTGAGCGTGATGCGGGCAAGCCTAGCGTGAATATTTAATGGTTTCTAATAAATTCGTTGGCTGCCGTTGTTTAATGCCGTTGCGTGCGAGGAAAAGTGTTAATAAACGGAACAGAAGGAAAATGTGTGAAAAATCGGGCGGAAAGTTGGACGCTCGAACGCGCGACGACAATCGCACCTCACGCCTTTATTAACAATAACCCAAAACCACTCTAAATAATAATAAAAAAAAACCGCGCGCAAGGAATCTGAAGAACGAGGGTGGATGAGGAGGAGAAATCGCACAACCCTCATTATCCGCAATACGAAACGAGCACAGAAAATCAAATCAAATGAAACGAAAATGATTGAATGAAAACTTAGGGAAAAATTGCGAAAGCTCAACGTTTTATTTCATTGTGGCCGAAATAATAGCAGGCCAAAAAAAAATAAAACGAAATTCAGATTTCCGTTTCGAACTGTTCATAAAATTCAACGGTCATCGGAGCGAACTTTCCGAATATAAAAGAGACTCAGTTATTTTTGAGCTCCAAAACAAAACGAAATAAACGTTTGAGAGAGAAAGAGAGTAAAAAAAAAAACGAAACAGCGCGTTTACGTAATCTGCATTGAGCTTTCACAAAATGGCAGAAGGGAAAAAAAAACAAAACTAATAATGAACGTTACTCGTTTTTTTTTTTTTTTCATTTTAAATTTGTAAAACCCTGTTTTTGTTTCATCGGAGTGACCTCAAGGGTCGCGGTCGGCCGGGGAAAACAATTTCGTTACAGCACAAAAAAATATTAAATGGAAATGGAAACTCGGCTTTGCGGAAATGTACATTTGAACGCGCAACCCAAAAAAGAAATGATTATATATATATATTTATGTATACACAGAATTATGAATTTCAATGAAAACTTGGCTTATTATTCGTTGAAAATATCAAAGCTAACGAAATTATTGCTGAGAAGAACTCGAAGGAGCAAAAATTCAAATGCAGTTTGAAGCGTGATTTTTAGTAAATTAACTCGCATAGTGCCACCAACTTTTGTCAGGAAATAGTTGCTAAATTTCGTAAGAAGCAAGAAAATGAGGAATTAATCAACAAATGTTTGCTAATTCAAACATAAATAATAGACACATCATTTTAAAATTTCTTTTTGAAAAACAACACGCTGTTTTAACTGCGTTTTCATCACATTTTATAGAAGTCATAGAACTTCGTCTTAACTTCTCATCGGTTTTACAAAATTTGTAAATCTCTTAATTTCTTCTCCTTCTTTCCAATCTGTCGTGTACTTTTGGGAATTGTGGATGTGACAATGATCTTAATGTGCTTCTTTTGCAGAAGAAAATTGTGGAAATCTTTTGAATCTATTGACTTTAGTGTTTTGGATTACGATTACGACCATTGTTAATTTTACACACTTTAGTTTGTTTCCACAATTGTTGTTTGTGTCTTTGACATTTTGCAATAAATAATGCAAAATTCGCTTGCGATCATCTTTAATAAATTACTAAATACATTTTTAGTAGTAGTAGTAGTAGTAAAAAAGAAAAAATAAGTGTATTGTATAATTGAAATTAAATAGTTGAGATCGATGGATTGGTTTCGGGTGGATTATAATATCGGAACGGGGTTTGACAAGCAATTATTTTGAAGTAGAAACGGATGGGGTTTGTGTGTGTATACCAAAGAAGAAAAAGTTCCGAGCGAGGAGGAAAAAAAATAGAAGAATGGGGTGATGGGTGGAGGGTGGAGAAGAGAACAGAGAAAAGAAACACGAATTTAATTTGGTCGACGTCGTCGTCGGCTGACGCGAAAGAAAGGGAACGCCGTGATGTCGAAAATGAAACGACGCAGAGATCCAGTTTCTACTACTGTTATCATGTCCCAGCCAGAGCAACGAGGATGTAATATATGTCCTTCAAGGGGGTGGCGCTCTAAGACAATGCGCAGCATAATAACACACAGATATATATCAAATGAAAATGGTAGGGCGAGAGAGAATACAGACATTATATTATATCCAACGAATTTATGAGGCCGCATGGTTGTAACACACTCCATGAATAATTACAGCTCCTGCTCCATTCAGAGGCTCCATTCGTAGTAATAGATAGATCATAGCGTATTTTACGTATCATCATCAAATATTAATAGTTTTGATTAACGGTCGTCCTTGTTCTTGTTTATGTTTCAGCAGGCGGATGCTCGAAACGCACTAGGATCGAAGAATGCTTCAAGCAGGAGGAGTCAGATTCCTCTGATCAGGAGGATATCAAGAGGGCGCGGCATTCGCCGTTGATGACGATGCCCCAGGTGTCTGCCACCTCGGCGCCGACTCCATCACCTGAACAAACGTCACGCACGCCCGATCCCGATCTCGATGTGGAGGATGATAACACCGGTGATGCCCCGGAGAACCTTTCACTGAAGAAGACTGAGAGTCCTCCGCACCAGCTCCAGCACCAGCAGCCGCCCTTCATGCCCTACCATCCAACGTTTCCGCCTCAGTTCTCGCCCTTCCATCAACAATACCCCAATCATCAAAGGTCGCCGGTGGACATTCTGCTCAGGGTTTTCCCAGGAAGGCGCCGCTCAGATATCGAAACGATCCTTCAAAGGTATGTCTGTCTACTTTCATCCCTTTTTTCATCGTCCTACAATTGTCATTCATCTTTAATTACACCAATTTGCCAGATGCACATGTAACCTATACAAAATATAAATTCTATAATAATGAACAATTATTTTTAAGAAGAAAATCAATTATATTTAACTAATAAACAAATAATAAGCTTCTTAAAAGACGGATAAAAAGATATTATTGTAGTATAAATCAGATATTTTATAATAAAGAAACAAAGTTTTAAACCTGATAAATTGAAGAAAACAGAAGAAATTACCATCAATTTTGATATAATAAAATTAATTAGTAGTGGATTTTACTAAATTTCAATATTGATTAATCTCTTATTTTAAATTTAATTAAATTTCGATGTTCAACATAATAGATTAATTATGTTGAACATCGAAATAATACAACAAATAATAATATTATTATCAAACTCGAATTTCAAAGCTTATACAATTAAACAAACATATTTGGAATTCCATTTTTCGGTAGAACAATTAATATTAAATAAAAATCAATTTAATTTTTTTTCATCATTGATAAGTTGTGTTTTTACAAAGATATTAGACTCTCTAAATATAAATCAATTTGCTTATAAAAATGTTGAAAATTTTCTTAATTGAAAGCTTTTTTCTTGTATTATATGGTATTGTATTTTTCTTTAGGCAAGTCAAAAAATTGATTATAAAAATTTTGAAAAAATATGTAGCCTAAAATAATTTAGTTATTTTTATTTCTATTTGTTGTCATAAATGCAGTTACTTTTTGTTTGTGATAATTATGAAACCAATGCGTTGATTGATGTACAAATGTCAACTGTCAACATGAAGTGTGATTTAAAAAATTGTTGTAATTATAAAATAGAGTAATGAGTTTTTTGTTCTTTGTTATAATATAAAATTTATTGTGTAATTACAGGTGCAAAGGAGACGTGCTACAAGCGATGGAGATGATGGTGAGCGTGGGCGTCGGCGGTGTCGGTGGTATGTTGAGCAATCTGCAGGACGAGATACCAACCCCATCGGCGTTCTCACCACTGGGTCCACCAACAAACTTCCACAGGTTCTCACCCAGCAGGAGATTCCTGTCGGCGCCGTACGCCGGCACCGGATACCTGTCAACAGTGATCAGACCGCCGCAAGAATACGGCCTACCACTCGTCCATCACGACCTCTACTCCAGCGACAAGACGACTGCCTCCTCTCCAGCCTCCAATACCGGATCCGATAAGACCTCGTATTCGGAGTAGAGTAGATGAAAAATCAGGAATCATGAACTCCGCGTTTGTTAATGCGAGACTGTGAATGAGAGCGTGCGCTTCCGGTCGACCGGATCCAAATTTAATTAGGAAATACATATGAATCGAGTTTCGGGGATCGCGTTTTAGGGGTTGCGGCTATTGTGCTCCTGTAGCGACCAGAGAATCGCGCGGTATAAATTATATTATACCCGGTAGTTAGAGGCGCCCCTTTCTAGTGTGCCACTAGAAACCAATCCTCATATATACATACACACAGACACACACATATATATATTAAAACCTTCCTTCCCACCAGTCGCAAACCCCAACTCACACTCAACCCAAAACATACCCCGTGTCTCCCTCCTAACCACCCCGCAACGGCCATCACCCAACCTCCCTCGATTCCTTTTTATTAAGTGATATCCTATTTATAGTCTATAACTCACCCCTCATAATACTATACCTATATATATATATATATATATACTATACACATATATAATGAAAATATGCTTTACTAAACTGTACTAATCTAAAGTCTCTTATTACGTCTCCCGTCTCATCTTTAATTCTTTTGTATATAATCATGTACCATAGCTATAAATATTAAGTAAATGTATTATATTATTACCATTATCATCGTCGATATCATTACTATTATTATTATTGTCTTTATTAAATAGCGTGATTTAGTGGAACGATTGGTGAAGGATTAAACATGAAAGGATTTATATAAAAACACCACGATTGATGCGATGTTGTAAAACTGTAGATTATTAGAGAGAATATGTAATATGTTGTAAGAAGTGGTCGGACGAAACGATTGAAGAGCGGAAAGATGGAAAACAAAATAAAATCTATATATAAATTTAAAAAAAAAAACAAAGATATATATAAGTAATGTAAATACTCATCGCACATGTAAGATGATACAAATATTTGAAAATTATTTGAAAACTGTGTTGTATACGAAACGTGTAAAATATAGAAATGATTTCGTTTTTGGCCCAAAACTGCTTTTTTTCATTATTACATCCAACCATAAATTTAAAAATGCAAAGATTTCATTAATACCTGATTCGTTTTTTTTTTGTAGTATTCGTATCTTCAGATCAAAATATTACAGTATTAAGGTTTGTATCCAAGCTTCAGAGTAAAAATCTCATACAAAATCTATCTTTTATTATTTCAGGTAAATTTTTCACAGGTGTTGTATTACCAATAATACGTTTAAATTTTAAATCAATGTACAGATTAAACGATATTATAAACATTTACAGTTTGTTTCATTATTCAATGAATTGATGGTTGCTCAGAAACTGAATGTCATATAAAGATTAAGAACAGAGTCGAACCGAAATTAAATTCGTTCCGGTTTACGGTTACGTTTCAAGTAAATGTTTATCGTTCCAGATTCGGTTTCGGTTCGGTTCAGTTCCGGTTCGGTTCCGGTTGAAATTAAAATTTAAAATCGAAAAAAAGCAATTTCTATTGATATTGATGATTCGGAGAATTCGGAGTATTCAAAGAGACTTCATCGATGTTTCTTATACATTCTTTGTTTATATACTCTATTCACAATAGACCGACAAACACAACGTTGAAACATTATTTTTTTTCAAAGAGCTCATGTATGCTCCTGAACCGAAATTAACCGTAATTAAAATTTTATTCCGGTTTCGGTTTTTCAATTGAGCAATTTTTCTTTCCGGTTACAGTTAAAAATTCCGGTTAATTTCAGTTTACGGTTTCGGTTCGGTTCCTATACAATAAACTTTATATAATATTAAAAGTAATCAATACTTGACAAGTATCTTCGCAAGTATTAATAATGTAAGAAAATGGAAAGATCAAAAACGCATTATAATTTTCATTTGAAATTTTGTTAATAATTAAATATTAAAAGCTAAATTAAATTTGTCTATAATACTATAAAAAGGTTACTCAATTATCCAATTACGTTAAATAAAATGTAATTTAATCAATATTTGTCAAGTATCTTGCGCAAGTATTCATAATGTAAGAAAATGGAAAGATCAAAAGACGATATAATTTTCACTTGAAATTTTGCTTATAATTAAATGCAATAAAAAAGTTATTCAATTATTTGATTATGTTAAATAATTTGTAAATTAATCAATACTTGACAAGTATGTTCGCAAGTATTAATAATGTAACATAATTTTCACTTGAAATGTTCCTACAATTTAATATCTTTCATATTACATTTTTCAACTCTATAAAACAAAAGTTATTCAGTTATCCAATTACGTTAAATAATATGTAAGGTAATCAATACTTGTCAAGTATTGCGTAAGTTTTTATTATGTAAGAAAATAGAAAGATCCAAACTTCGTATAATATTTTGCAAACAATTAAATATTAAAGTCTAAATTAAATTTGTCTACAATACAATAAAAAACTTATTAATGTATTCAATTGATAAAAATCAAGACTGTTAGATATTAAATATTATTTGACAGTTACCGTTAGCAACACTAATAATAAATAGTTTATTTACGTCAAATTGAGTTTTTTTTGTTAATATCGAGAGACAAAACGTGATTTAAGATGATTCGTAACGTGGAAGAAGCCGAATGTCCGAGACAAACGTCAAAAGAAAAAGTGCTGATCACTTTATCCGTAATCAATATTATAGTGTTCGTGAGTTTGATGTCAATCCTGATCATTTTACTATTACAACGAAATAAATGCTAAAGATAATAAAATTTAATAACTTTTATAAATAAACTTTATGACTTAATTTTCTGTGATTATAAAATATGGTGATTGTGATTTCAGTATTTATTAAACAAGGATTAAAAGTAAGTTTTATATTTATATTTTAAAAACAATTTCTTTTATTTACAGTTAATAATATATTTCATATAATTTAATTTGGTAAACATGTTCATTCATGAAAAATAACCAATTATAATCAATATTCTCAACTTTATAAAAAAAAATAACTTAATAATGGACTTAATAATATTATTGGTAATTATAACTTCACAATAGGCTCTTCCTAGAGGGAAGAAAAAAAAACTTCATAATATTAAAGCGAATGTTTATTATAAATTGAAAAACGTAGTCATTTAACACATTTCTGAGAATGTACAGAAAATTTCAATCTGTTTTTTTTTACTTTTCATTTATATTACCAATATTTTATTATTTGAATTCTGAAAGAACTTAATTAAATTATGCTTTTATTGAATTGAGGAATTCCCATGTTTTGTTTTTCATTCACGAACATCGCAATTTTTCAATTAATTTCATTGGAAATTATTATTCAAAAGTTCAAGAGTTTAAAAGAATATTACAAAATTGCTTAGAGATTTTAATAAAATTTCAAAATAAAATTACATTTGAAAAATAACTTGATTCTTTTTTTGTTTTCAATTAAAGTGATTTATACTAATTCTTTCCAGCTCACTTTTTTTTTAAATATTATTTCAAAATATATTATTTTCAAGTTAATAAGGGTTCATCTGTTCAATCTTCTCTAAACATACGCAAAAAATAGAGTGATATCCATTGTGTGTGAAATATAGGATAATTTTATAGATGTTATTGATGATGATGATGGCGGCAAATTCCATTTGATATTTTTAAAAAGTTAATCAACTTGCGTCGCAGACAGAAATTGAATCGGTGATCTAATTTAATAATATCAATAAAATTGATTTTTGCATTCAAAAACAATTGCATAGCTGATGAAAACCTTATGTTCATTTCTAAGAAAAAAATCTTTATTTGTTTACTAAATTGATTTTTATAACCGCGCATATTTTCTTACATGACAGAAACAATTGCATAATTGATGAAGGTTTTTGAAAAGTGTTTTGCTAGCTGTGCAACGGTTTTTCTCTCTCTCTCTCTCGTTTCTCTTTCCCTATACCACTTCTTTTTCTATTTCAGTCTCGCTATTTCTCTCTCTCTTTCTCTTTGTATTTTATGTGTTTTATACAACAGTGTTGATATGAATTGAAATGGTTCGTCGCCTGTTCGGCAGGGCACGTATATACGTTTTGCGCGGATTGCTTGGCGCGTGTAATTTCTAATTAAAATATACACACAAATGCAAAATTTATATTTGCACTCTCACACACGTTCGCGCGTATACAACAAACGCGATCTCTGTTCGAAATTACATGTATATTAAACATGGAACAATCCAACCGACTGCCGCGTTTCAACCAATCTGAATATATATTATTAATTTGAGCCTAGCTACGCTACTGTGTGCTCCGCCTCTCCGATTGAGAAACCGGAATCCGGATCTCTGGTCCTGACTCCTCGACGAAAACTCTCTCTGCACACAAATTAATTAATTTAAGAAACGAAGGGAGAAAACAGCAGATTTCATCATGGAAAAGTAAGAAAAAAAAAAGAAGTATTTGTGCACAAATGTAAGGAATATCCATTGTGAAATAACCTTGTTCCCTAATTACTGGTAATTCGTTTTATAAAATAAAGCCTTTCCTGTGCATTTAATTAAATTTATTATGTTATTACAAAGTTTGCAATTATACGAAAACATTGATATTTCTTGGAAAAAGGTTATACTAGAACAAGATAATAACATCCAAGTAATTAGAAATAAAATTATCCACATGTTTAAAAAAGGAGTAAGAAAATGGACATTAAATTAAAGAAGTTTTTGCCAATAAATGTTACCATTGATTTTAAAAGGTGAAGCACCACCACGTTTTCAATTGTGTTTGTCTTTTTTAGTTTTTTTCTTTAATTTGACTTTTCTTCTTTTCGAAGAAGTTATATATTTACAGTCAATAAACGTTAAGCTTTCTTTTATCCAAATATTGATACAAATTGTGCAATTCAATATTAATTTAATCCACTTACTCTAATTACTTTATTAGTTTACTTTTCATAATTACAAACGAATTTACCAGATATTATTATGATTATTAATAATTAAATTAATTGTCTGGAAAGTCATTATTTTGTTTTTTATTCATAAAGATCTTTCATTAAGAACTCCGTAACATTACTAAATATTAAAAATAATTGATATTTGCCGTCGGATAATAAACTAATATTTATATTAATTCTATAATTTTATGTAAACTTACAACTATGTCTCGCAGGAATCCATTAAGATTATACTTTTTGAGAAAAATTCTTACTATTTCTAAAAAAAAGTGATGCAAAATGAATGTAATATGTATGGATAATAATAATATATATATATATAAGTTCCATATAAGTTTCAAAGTAAATTTCATGTTACAGATTAAATATTTTGATTTTCTCAATTATATATATATTTCGAGAACTTGTCTCTTTTTTTTGTTGCAGATTGTAATAAGTAATAAATATTTGAACAAAATTACTTTTTATTGTCTATGAATGCAATGAAACCACACTAATCTTTTGCTAATGGATTTAGAGCCTGAGGCAATCAAAAGGGTTGGACTTTATGTGAATTAAATATGTTTGTT